GTGTAGGTCATTCTGTCTGTGTTTGTCTGTCCGTTTAGTGGGTCCGCATGCCTGGTTCTCTCTGTCTGTCGGTCTGAACGTGCGTCTGTTTATCTCAGACTCCTTGGATCTCTGCTTGTCTGTCTGTCTGTCTGTCTGTCTGTCTGTCTGTCCGTCCGTTTGTCTGCCTGCGTCTATCTCAGACTCCTTGGATCTCTGTCTGTTTGTCTGTCTGTCTGTCCGTTTGCCTGCCTGCCTGCCTGCGCACGTGCCTACCTGCACAACTATCATCCTGCACGCCTGTCTTTAAGTCTGTCTGGCTCCTTCGTTGTATCTCATCCCTTACGTCCAATTTTGCCTGCCTTCCTTTCTCTCTTTTTCTGTCAGAGATTAGATCCCTTGCTGGCAGAAGGGGGTTCCTGACCCGTCTGTCTGTCGAAATCTCTCTGTTTGTTCGCACATCTCTCTTTCTCTATTTACGTGTCTCGTCCTTGCGTCGGGCCCATCGTTCAAATTTTTAACGCACTGATCTCCCGAAGTATCGGTCCATCTCCATCCATCTGTCACCCTACCGATCTGGAAGTTCCACTCTGTTGGCCCATCTCTCTGCCTGTCCATCTCCATCGATCTGTCAGCCTACAGTCATTGAGATTTCTGCCAATCCAACCGCTTATATATGCCTTAAAGAGCCAATCATCCGTCCTTCGTGACATCCGTTGAAAAATGGAACGATACAGAGAAAGAGAAGGGTAATTAGCAAAATGGCCACTGCGCTTTCAAGGATGACAGGAATAAATCGGCGAATGGTCCAAATATTACCAAAAAAGAAAAAAAGAAGAAAAGGGCCAATCATCCAGGATGAGCTTGTTGTCCTCGGCGATCGTTGCCAGCCAGTGTAGCACCCCGTAGACAACAAGTATATCCCTGAACCACCTCAAACAAATAATAAAAAAAACTCATCGGCTTTTAGCCTCCAATCCAAACAGATCGCATGCCTCAGACAATGTGCCACAGAAATGCTTTTTTGCACCCTCTTTACCCCCTCCCCTCTGATTCCCTTTCGACGCTTTTCCCCTCCACATTTCCCCCCTCTCCCGCGCACCGCCCCCAATGCCACGTGGCCAACCTGCAGGACAAAAGCGAAAAACGAGAGGGAACAAATAATATGTGAACAGAACTGAAAGAGGACAAGGGAATTACGATGATGAATGAAGACAACAAAAAAGGAAGAAGAAGAAGAAAGATGAGAGAAAAACGAAACACAAAGCAGGAAGAGGAGAAGGATGACGAACTCACCTCTCTCTCTCTCTCTCTCTCTCTCTCTCTCTCTCTCTCTCTCTCTCTCTCTCTCTCTCTCTCTCTCTCTTTTCCTATTGCCCGCGCGCGCGCGCGCGCGAGCACACTCGTCAAACGTTCACCTTCGATCTCCCCCCATCGTCCACCTCTGTATATGCCTCTGCATGCCTAAGATGCCTTTCAACACCTCGCACCCTTCAGCTCGCCATTCTCTCTCTCTCTCTCTCTCTCTCTCTCTCTCTCTCTCGTTTTTCAAATTATGAACGCAATACAAATAATCGCCCCTCAGCTCCGCCTCTCTCTTTCTCCCTCTCTCAAAGACACTGGTCGTTCGTTGTACGCAGATCACATACGCGAGCGTGCGGGGCCTTTTCGGACACCCCCGCGCACATGGTGCTCTCCAAAACGGGGTCGGGACTTGGGAGGACCATAAGGCCCCTTTCGAGGGCTCTTCGTTGGCGCTGTGGGAATGTAGCAAGGCCCTGGTTGCACTCCTCGCCATCCGCCAAGATTTCGAATGCCACTGGACAAAATGATGTCCACATGCAATCAAAATGGATGGCGAGTAGTGTGACGAGGCCCCAACTATGTTCAAATGTGGGAGAGAAGGTATAGCAAACACAATTCGGTGTTTTTTTGGCTGCATAAAAAATTGTGCGTTATGTTCAGGCGTTGGTAAGGGCGTATTCATGCAGCTGTGGCATAATAGCAGCAAGGTCTGCTAAATTTTGCTATCCCGATTTTGCTGAAATGCCACTCCGCCCGGTCACATAGCGGCAGCAAAAAAGAAGGAAGAAAAAAAAAGACACGAGTGGGACTTTGGGCTTCGCCACACCGCTCTCGAAATGCGCATACCCAGCAACATAATTTCAGCCATCCGCTAGTAGGCTATATGAGTAATTTGGCCAATCCACCTCGGTCTTGGGTATGACCATAATTTTGCCTGGGTATGTCCATAATTTGTGCATTCCGGTAGTTGGTTATAACTGCAATTTTGTGGTACCAACCTGGGTCCACCTCAGTCCTGGGCATGTGAATAATTCCCACCCGCAGTTTTCGGGGTATAGGTGCAAGTTGGCTCTGGGATATAGGGTATTCCCATCTTTAAGTGAGGTACAGATGCATTTTTCCCACCCAATTTGGTCCTCACGCTGTGTGACCACGCGAGGCACCATTTTGTTGGCAAGCAATTGCCAGAAAGGGCATCGCCACACCAGTCTCGAAATGTGCAAAATGAGAATGAACTTCCGGCTAGAACATGGCCAGATGCAATGGCCACATTTTTGTCTTTTGGGCCAGAACCGTCCATGTAGTGGCATGAACATAATTTTGTGGTTTGCCATCGAAGGCCCACCCTGGCTGTGGATACACCTGCAATTTTGCCAGGCCGTTTCTGGGCATGGGTATAATTTCGTTGCCGGGGACTGAGAGCCTGCGAGACTGGGTATGCCTACAATTTTGCACAGGCCAAAAGTGGGGTACTATGCAAAGTTGAATGTGTCTGGGTATAGATGCAAGTTGGGCGCTGGGACTGGGTATAACGGGTATTCCCATCTTTAAGTAGGGTACAAATGGAATTTTCCCTTTTTTTTCCCAACAAAGTTCGTTTCAAATTTCCTTCCACGAACACCCGAACTGAAAAAGAAAATTTGCTTGGCAATGTGCCCTTTCTCGGAATTTTCCCTTTTTTTCCCCAACAAAGTTCGTTTTAAATTTCCTTCCACCACCTTTTTTTTTTTTTTTTTTTTTTTTTTTTTTTGAGTGCCCTCCACTGAGCCGGCCAATCTGGCATTACTGCTTCTTTTTTTTTTTTTTACAAAAGGCTCCATCTATTGGTGGGGAACAGCACCTGCTGGAAACCGGGTGCAGCGTCCCATAGATACAACCATATCCTCACAAAATGGCACCGACTGGGAACTGGGCCCAGCGTCCCATAACGGGTACCTTCAGAAAACTTTTTTTGGAAAATCGTCAAGGAATTTTAAGGAAACCTGCGTATACTACAGACCTTTGACCAACCACTCATTAAACTACTCATTGAACCTCCTCAAAAACCTTTGTACCCCACTCCAGCAAGACTTAGTTGTGCCCTATTCCTATCCTACTAGCTAGCCCCCTCACTAGTAGGACGCGTAATATCCACCCATCTACTAGGCCATCACATATCCTTGCAAACTCTCTCTACTGCCTTCTTCTTCCAGCGACGAGCCGACCTCCTCCACCACATAGTTCGCCGGATGAAGTAACAACAGCAGGAGATGGATTCACAAGGTCTCGCAGGGAGCAGCAGCATGCAACAGTCTTCCTCATCTCACGACGAGCCGACCTCCTCCACCACATAGTTCGCGGGATGAAGCATGAACAGCCTACACAGAAGTCATCAGAGGTCCCTCCCACTTACCCCCTACTCTTCATCATCTTCCGACGAGCCGACCTCCTCCACCACATAGTTCGGAAGATACGAGCTGTAGACAACCAACCTACCCAGTCCCATAGTGGTTGAGAGTAGACTTTCTACTATGCGTCTTCCTTCGACGAGCCGACCTCCTCCACCACATAGTTCGAAGAAGAGGAATAGAAGAAGTCCACTCACAAAGGGTAGTAATAGGTAGTAGCAGATCTGAACACAGTAAAGACATTTTTCCGAGAGAAAGCAACAAAAACCAAAACCCAGGTAGGTTGACACTCAACTATCCCAACCTCAAACCAGCATCGACCTCCCTCCTCAATATCAAGACTCTTCAAGGCCTCACACCCCCGTCTGCTAGGTGACGAGGTAGCGCAACCTACCTCAGAAAACTCCCACCTGTTAGGTTACAGGGTGGAACGACCCACCTCGACTCCAGCCCGCGTCGCCTTAATACCAGCCCCAAACAGCCACAGAACCACCTCCCCTCTTAGGCAGTTCCTTGGACCTCTTACCAGGCCTCCAGAGCCCTCGTCACGCTCGAGTTACAGGGCAGCACGACCTAACCCGCAGCTCCGACCTGCATCGTTCCAACTCGGCTGTCCGAAAACAAAAGGGTGGAAGGCAGATAGCACAGCATCAACTGAACAACCAAGCATCACCTCAACCCGGATTCCAGATTCGATAGCACTAAACTCTCCCAGAACTTGGATCGACAAAAATATAGCCTAAGTAGACAAGGACGACCTAAATTAGCCTGTCACAACACGCACGAGGTTGGGTTCACCAACCAATTTTTAGAAATAGATTTTAGCCAAATTTTGGAGACCATCCAGGAGATCCACAGAACCTAGGAATCCTAGGAATTAAGGAATAAAAGTTTAGAAGTCAATCAACAATGATGGTGCTGAAAGAGATTTGGATTTTAAGAGTCAAACATAAAACTTATATCGGTAAAACATTAAGAGTTGTGAATCTATCAGAAACAAGTCTGATTTACGACTTCGAATTTGCAATTGTATTGGACTTAGGAATTGGCAATTGTAGTAGATTGATTCCTTCCACCAACTCTCAAAACTGAAAAAGAAAATTTGCTACCACCTCCAGAGGTGGTAGCAAAATGCCCTTCCCCATGGCCCGCCAGGCCGCTGACATTTGGTACTCTGTTTGCTGCTTTTGCCACTTTCCCTGCCTCGTGCGACTGACCCAACCATCAAATTTTAGCTATTTTGCCATAAAAGGCCCTACTGTGAGTAGGCCCTAAGGCTAGCAAGTGGCCTCATGTACCTTCCTGGGCATGCTTGGCAACCGCCACCTAGAGACATACCACTGGATCCCCCGATTGGGATTGATCAGAGTCTGCTGATGTTCGTAGGGGAGGGGACACGAGGGGAGGCACAAGGATTGGTCTCGTTGGCATTGTCTCTGATAAAGGTCGGGGCAGCCCCTTCATGTTCTCTCGTGAACATGGTTCTGGCTGCTACGGGGTTCCCTCTATGACTATGATTAGAACCAGTGGCAGGTAGGAGTGTGAGGTGAAATTTAGAAAAGAACTTACTTGAAAAAAAAAAAAAAAAAAGAACTCTTAGGGCCTACACAACTTGTCATTCGCGAAGATTTGAATGCATATTGACATACGCAAATCCAGATCGATTCACAATATTGACGGATGGGGAGTGGTGCCACTAGGCCCTAACTGGAAACCGCGCAGGAAGTCCTTGCAACCCACTTCTGACCTATTTTTTTTACCAATTGACCTAACGCAATTAGTACACCCTTGAGTTGTTCTTCCACATGGAGTACCTAAAAAAATAAAATAACACAGAGGAAAGTTGCCCCCGTCGGCGCCGAGTATGGGTTATGTATTAATCGGCCCAACTGCACCGAGCTCAATATTCACAAAAGACAAAACATATGGAAGTGTGTCTTTCCATGTTATTGGGGAAAGTTCATTGTCGAATTTCACCTTTGGAAGCAGTGCAGCAAGGCCTAATGGTGAAGGCTTTCCTTTCTCGAATAGATCGTGGCCATCTGGTGATGCAGGGTTTCGCTACAATAACTCTAGCCTCGACACATGAAAGGTATTTACTCAAACTTAGTCCACACTCACACCGGGGTTTCTTTTCAATGTATCTCTGTCGCGGTGTATCTCATATGTTCTTGCGGAAGGTTGCACATTGTCAGGCTGCTCAGTTGATGCACACATGAAACTGTTGAATTGCACACGTGAGCTTGAATCCAACAGCGACCCCAATAAAATAATTATGATTTATGCCCACCCGAATGTTGCGCGTCCCTCATGTTCTAAAACAAACACCCTCAATGTCACCCAAGCCAGATAATGGTCGTGCCTGGGTGGGGCTGGCGCTCGGTCGTGGCTTCGCAGTGACCCTCCCACCTACTCCGTTGCTGTCTTGATTGACTTTCGGGTAATAAATTCCCATCTTCAATTACCCCCCTTTCCCCTGCCGCAGCATAGTTGCAGTGCGTTTACTTGTATGGATAATAGCTAGGAACACTCATTACACTTTGCTTTTCCGCTTCGCCGATGTTTTATTCTTCAGGCCTCCCACCACCTCATATTCCCTCACGGCTGGGGCCCTGTGGCCAGGGCAATTTGTTATTTGAGAAACCTCTGAGTTATTATGATTGGTCATATAGAGTATTGCATTCTCAATCGTCCGAGATTTGGGTTCATCAGGACCTCCGAACATCAACTAAAACCACCACTACCTTTCAAGCTAGGAGGAAGTTCCCGGGGCAAAAAAAAAAGGAGGTTGGGAGGAAATCGTAAGAGTAACCTACGCCCCATTTTTTGTCGTTGATAAATTCACGGTAGATCAATGTATATTTCGATGTTGTAGCGGTAGATCAATTCGATTTTGCTCATCCTATCGATGAAAGTACCGTCTCTCTCTCTCTCTCTCTCTCTCTCTCTCTCTCTCTCTCTCTCTCTCTCTCTCTCTCTCTCTCCCCTCACCTTTCGCATCACCGACATCGTGTCGTCCGTTCCCTGTCGCCGCAGGTGGCGATTCCCCGCCACCGTTCCATTCGACATTCGACCAAACCGCGGTCGGCGCGATTCGTCCCCGGCCTTTTTTCCCCCAGTCGTCGCGGGTGTCGCCAGTTCCCCATTTCCCGCCCCGATTCATCCCAAGCCTTTTTTTTGGCACTCATCGCGAGTGTTGTCAGCTCCCCATCCCCATTTCCCGACCCGATTCCCGGCAAATCCAGGTCGACGACAGACTCCTCTTCGCCCCGCGCGCCGGCATTTCTCTGGCCCTTGCCCCAAGTTCCACCGGTTCCCCCTTGGCCGCTGCCCGTAACCGGTCCCGCACGGAGGCCCCCGGATTCTGTTGGGGCCCACACGAGGACCGCTGTTTCCTTCAGGAGTATATATTGCTATATAGGGAAATAGGGATATAAGGATATAGGGATAGGGAGGGATATAGGGATAGGGATAGGGATGTAGATGTAGATAGATATAGCAAAGAGCATTCATACAGCAGTCCCATCAGAGCTGGTCCACTCCTGGGCCCCATCCAGGAACCCAGGTGAGATCCAAACCTGAACTGCAGACTGGAATGCAGAATTACCGCCGAAAAGTTACAGCCAATGAGAACAACTGCCCTACGCCCTCTAACTCCCTTTCGAGTATTTTTTTTTCAACGTGGCTGCCGTACAGCCGTGAGATGGTCAGATCAGATGGCAGGAATCGGTGCGTACTTGAAACCAAGTCTAACCCCTCGCGGCCGCTACTGGGTCTTCTCCCCGGCGGGTCAAAGTCACTGTGGGCCAGAAAGGGAGGACGTGGCCTCACACGTCACCCACTAAATGATGTCACGTACGAGGGCCGAATGTCAAAAGTGCGTCATGCAAGACGGGCAAATGCGCAAATTAAAATGCAAGACAAGGATGAGAAGGGTGATGTCTCTGGAACGTGGGGTAAGATGTCAAGTCAGGCGCGTGCGAGTGATAGAGCAAGGACGTAGAGGTAGGCACAGAGGAGGCAACGCAGAGCATGAGATAGAGATTCGACAGAGGCAAAAACTTAGCGGCAAGCAAGAGATCGAGCGAGCCCTACACGCACACACACACACACACACGCACAGAGAGAGAGAGAGAGAGAGAGAGAGAGAGAGAGAGAGAGAGAGAGAGAGAGAGAGAGAGAGAGAG